TAAGAAGAATATATGCAGTGTATTATTTGTTGAAACTGTACTTCCGATTTGATTTGAAACTGTCTCATTGCTGTTTATCAATAAAACTTTGAAAAAAAATAAAAAATAAAAAAATAAAATAGTAGCAAGAAAAAGGAGAAATATAAAACATATATATGACATGGGGATCATCCACTGAACGAATGAATAAGTGAGTGAAAAGATGAATAGAAAAACTTCTGTTTGTCATTTACCTCTATGAGTAATGCAACCATCTTTTTCCCATCAACTTCAGGATTGGCATATTTGTTGAATTCCAAATCAAAATAAAGTTTGCACACAGCATTTTCAGGAATGACTTCATAGCAATGCAAGAGATTTTTCCTAAATTAAATAATTTGAGTTTGTTACATTTATATATCTAAATTCAAGGGAGTTGATCTTAGGTCTCAAGTTGCTGCTAACTGTGCTTTAGCTACATATGCCTATGAAAAATAATATATTCACAATAGGTTATGGTTCATAGCATCAAGTTTTCATCAAAGGATATATAACAATCATAGGGCCAAGGAAATGGCTCAGGAGAATAAGCGCTTGCCTGGCAAGTGCAAGGGTCTAAGTTCAATCCCCGGTTCCACCAAAAAAAAAAGGATATTTAACAATCATATTCTGCAATATTATGTAACTTGAAAATAAGGTCAATTTATAGTGTTAATTACTCACAAATGATTATGACATTGTATAATCTGTATTTGCTTTTAGTGTCCTCATGAAAGAAATTTTGCTTGCAGAAAGAATGATTTATCTTAAACTAAGATGTTGAGTTCATATATTCTTGGGATTATATGAATTGTCCATAAGAATTATAAAACTTTATATTGTCATTGGGAAAATGACTTTTTAAATTAGTAAAAAAGAAATGAATGCATGTATGAATGTATAAAATAATTAAAAATTCTGAATCACCTGACTTCAGTAAGCTTCCTATGCTCACACTTGAAGCTGGTAATTTTTGTTTAATTTTATGTATTTGGTACAGGGACTCACTACGCAGTTTGGACTAGTAGTGATCCTATTTTCAGCCTCTCTAGTGCTGGACTTACAAGCATGTGTCATGACACCTGGATTTGGTCTCTGGCTCAACGCGCCCAGTAGCAGGGCTGGTGTGGCATGCGGTACTAGCAATGGAACCTGCGCTTGCCTAAGCAGGCGCTTAGCTGCTGAGCTATCTCTCTGGTCCTGAAGTTGGTACATTCTTGCTGGCAAAGGTAGAATGACTTTGATAAAGGTTAACAGTACGTGTTGACTCAAAGTGTAAAAGATAATTCTGACTAAGTGAAGGTCAGATGGGAACTTATCTAGATAAAAGGTTTGTAGTAATTTGAAGGAGCAAAAGTCCTGGGTATTATATCATCATGTGACACAGGTAGTGTAGGGATCTCAAAATACACAGGTGTACACACACAGGTGCACAAATGTGCTCTGTAACAGTACCACATTTATACTCCAAGACAAAATTGAGTTTCAGGCAAATATCATTTGTCACATTATCCTAAGAACTGTAATTCACCTCCAACCAGTGTTCCATTTATATAAATATGAGTAAACCTAGTTTAATATTTGAATTTTCCTAAGTAACATTATAATGAAAGTATTTTAAGTTATACAGGGCATCCATATTAATTTACTCCTTTTCTATACATTACTCAGGGCTGAGAAGTAAATGAATACATCACAGTTGTGGGTTGGTACACTGTGTCAACTCGAGGGGTTTGGGGCTTGACTAGGTGGCTTGGCGGGGTGCTAGGGTCCCAGGTCCTTTCTTTGTAAATGTCCTGAACCTCTGTAAGAGAAGGGCACTAAGACAGTACCCTACTTGCAATGTGTGTGTTGCTCCTCACCCTTTTGCTCTTGCTGCTTTTGCTGTCTTCCGCCGCCTTGAACTGTTGCCCTAGGCCAGGCCACCCTGCCTTGGTGTCAGCTGATTACAGACTAAAATGAGCTAAATAAATCTTTCCTTCCTTAGTTTTTTTTTTTTTTTTTTTTTTTTTTTTTTTTTTTTTTTTTGGTGGAACCAGGGATTGAACTCAAGCCCTTGCACTTGCCAGGACAGCGCTTATTCCACTGAGCCATCTCCCCGGCCCCTCCTTCCTTAATTTTGGATGTTAAGTAGCCAAGACAACCACTCAGATGAAGCAGATATCTCCTTATTAGATAATTAGCAAGTATTCATCTGTAATTAATAGTAGAAACTAATATTTGCTTGCCCAAAAGAAAAAAGATTCCCTTTGGGTACACAAATTTGTGCACATGTGTGCATGTGCGCATGTAGGCATGTAAGAGAGTTTTTTTTTCTCCCAGCACTTGGTAAGATGAGTGTTGCTATAAAAAGTAAACTTCAGAACTCAATTTTAATAGCAAATAAACTATTAGGTGATCAAGAATTGTGAATGACACTGTCTGAATTAATTTCATAAAAATTATCAGACAAAGGAACTGTAAGTCTAGTTTAAAAACTACTTACCGAGTTTTATAATAAAACCAAAGTTGAGCATAGGTTGTTACAAGGTAAATACGCTGTCCATCACCAACTTTGTATTCCAAAGCAAATACGTGAACATTCTGTGTAAGAAAAATGCTACTTAAATATATATCTAAATTCAACTGCAGCCATTAAATATTCATAAAGAATTTTATAACTGAAGTTTTAGAAACCAGGATATGAATAATTATTAAAAACAAAAGTCATTATATCTGTCATTCAAAATCTATTTATATTTAATAATTAACATATGTAGAAGATGGAAACAATTAGCACATTCAGATCAAAAGGAGAAAAATATTCTATTACTTTAGTTAAACCTCAGTTTTCTTATTTTATGAAATTAAACTTACTTTTCAAAGCAGCCTAAGTATTGCTATAAATAATTTGAGCTAAAATTAATAAATTCACTAGTACACATAAAAATGTATATGGGAATTAATACTTAAATGTGTCTATAGTACTGAATTAAACAGAACATCATGGTTGCTACCATAAAGAGATTTCTTTAATAAAGGAATTTTTAAAATCTTACTTATTTATCTATGTGGTACAGGGTTTTGCTGTACCAGCTCAGACTCATAGTAATCTTCCTTCTCAACCTCTCCAGCTCTGGGATGACAGACATATGTCACCATGCCCAGCTCTGATGGCTGGCACAGCATGCCCTGGGTTCCAGGGAAGGCATGGCATGCAGTACCTGGGATCAAACCTGGGTCCTTGCACTCGCCAGGCAGGCGCTTAGTCCACTGGGCTATCTCGCCAGCCCTAATAAAGGAACAGTCGATACTATTCACACAAACACTCTTTTGTTTCCTCTTGGCTAAACTTTTCATTTCCTGAGAAATCACTGAAGGACTTAGCTGTTTGACCCCGTTAAAAATCTTCTTGATGGCCAGGGAGCTAGCTCAGTGGTCTGAGTGGCTGCCTGGCAAGTGCAAGGACCCAGGTTGATTCCCAGTACTACATGCTGTGCTATCCTCAGAACCTGGGGCATGCTATGCTGGTCATAGAAACCGGGCATGGTGGCCCACACCTGTAATCAGTGCTGGGGAGGCTGAGACATGAGGTTTACTATGAGTCCTAGCTGCACAGGGAGACCCTGTACCAAATAAATAAATAAATGATTTTTTAAAAAAGAAGAAAGGTCTGTCTTGTATAAAGCTTACAGGTTACATTATTCTGCTGTTTTGAGTGAACATGTTTTTAGCAGGGAATGAGGGCCCTCAAACTAGAGCACTTTGAGCTTCTTTATAGTATGAATGTCCAAAAATCACAATATTTAAGTTATATTTCCTATATGCACCTTTTTTGTCTTTATATTCCCCACACTATTCAAGAAACAAAAAGATGTGAAATATACATCTATTGTTAATTTATTAACTTTTTCAGCACAACGCTCTTCATAAGGCTGGCAGGTAATAAGCACTTCTTACTGCTACGTGTATTAGTAATAAATAAATCCACTCATCTTTTCTCTAAGCATAGCTTCATTTAAATGTCATTAAACATTTTAAATTAACTTGAGCTAGATATATCATTCTTTCTTTATTACTGATATAAACTAAATGGTTAGCAATTCCAAGGAATATTTTTCTTAAATCGTGTGATATTAAGATGGCCATTATATTCTCTTGATCTGAAATGAAAATAAATAATACTGTTTTTAAAGAAAGCTTGAGTGATAGTTGCACTATAAAAAAAGGGGGGGGCAGTGACCCAATTACCTCTTTACAGCTTTTAACAAAATTAAAAGCTTGACTTTGTCGATGAAATAGCTTCCATATGGAGGGTGGGTCTTCTGGCTTGGACAATCTTGGTCTATACACGGAGGACAATGGTTTCCTCTCATAGCAAGAAGCTCGTTCTTCAATTTGCTTCAGTTTTGCTTCCCATTTTCCCATCATTGGTTCAGAGGGGAAAAAATCAATCCTATCCTATGCACAATTCTATTAATTACTGCTAAAACAAATAAGCAAACAGACCATCAATTTATTTGTTTAGAATGTTTTGTTTAGTAAAATTTGAAAACTCATGTCCTGAGATTAGTGTCCCTATTTGCTTTTTCTTTGTACAGTCTTTTACAATAAAATAAGAATACAGGTAGTTATCAGAAACCTTGGACCCTGCCTCTTGCAGGTAATAGTTTTATGACCATGAAAGGATTAATGAAGTTCTCGGAATCTTATTTAATCAACTGCAAAGTGGAAATTAATATCATCCTGAATACTTTACATAGTAGCTTGAGGATAAATGTGATAAGGCATATGAAAGTGTTTTGTACATTACAAAGCCTAATATAAATGTAAGTACTTTTTACATCACTATGGCTTTTATTACAGCCACTTCATTGTATGAAGTGCTATCTTTTTTTTTTTTCTGTATTTAGGACAGGGTCTACAGGGTCTCACTAGAAAGATCAGATTTGTAGTGATTCTCCTGTTTTCAGCCTCCCGAGTGCTGAGATTATAGGTGTGTGCCACAATGCCCAGTCTCAATTGCTGTCTCAGCATGTCTGGTGGGCAGGGCCAGCATGGCACACTGGGAATCGAACCTGGCTGCTGCGTTCTGCCAAAGCAGGTATTTTAGTCCACTGATCTATCAGGCCGGCCCTGAAGTGCTACTTATCTGATTCAGTTGATGCTACCAGCTTGGCCACCCAAGTCTTTTTTGCTCTATTAATGCTTTTGTTTTGAGATAAAGTCAGTCTTGCTAAGTTGCACAGGCTGGGCTTAGAACATGCTTTTTTTTTTTTTTTTTTTTTTTGGCAATACCAGGGATTGAACTCAGGCCCTTACCTTTGCCAGGGAAGTGCTTATTCCACTGAGCCATCTCCCTGGCCCCAGAACTTGCATACTTTGTCTCAGCATCTCAGAATGTTGGGATTATAAACTATTATTTTCTAGTACAAAGTTTACTTCTAGGCATCCATGTATAGCTCTTAGTGCCCTTTTCCTCTTTTTCTTAAAAGTACTATAGATTGCACCCAGATACTTGCCACCCAATACTCTCCCACTCAGTTATACCCCTTCTGCCTTTTTAAAATTTTGAGTCATAGTCTTACTAAGTTGGCGGGCTGGCCTTAAACTTGTAAACCTCCCACTTAAACTTCCCACATCACTGGAATGCTGGTGTGCACATCTGGCTTTTCCTTCCATTTCTGATACCCACTTCTCTTCTCTCCCAACACAACTTTTGTAGGGAAGATAATTCCCCACTAAGCATAACTTCACTTAAGTGTAATTATAAGAACTTTTTTTTTTTTGCCAGTTTACCAAGAGATGCAATCTAAGCTCAATCCCATATCAACTTTGCATTTAACCGTGTGACTTGGTTAGGCCAATATTACACTGACAAAGAGACACATACAGAAGTTTACTAAGTACTTTTATATCAAATATGACATCCTAGAATTCTACCATTGGAGTGCCATGCTTAGAACCTTAACTATCTAGAGGATGAAAGGCCACAGGTGCAACAACCAAAACATCCCAGCTGTAGATATGAGTCAGAGCCAGGGCATTTTAGACTTAGCCATCATGTGAATTCAATGTGTGAGCAAGTCCAAGTGAGTCCAGGCCAGACATACAGAACTGCCCGGCCAACCCAAAAGTTTATAAAAACAAGTAAGTTTGCCATTTTATTTTTTTAAGCCAGTAAGTTTTGGTTGGTTTTTACAAAGAAATAAATAATAGTTTCCTTCTTCATTAGTATCATCTATGTCATAATTTACCCATGTAGAAAAAAAAAATACATACTAGTCTATAAATGAGACAAGAATGTATACTAAAGCATTTGAGACTAAATCCCAAATCCCTAATTACCTATGGCAATGCCCTTCTCTTGGATTTGAGCAGAAGACTTTGCAGCAACTGAAAGTCACTGATAAATGGTATGTTCCCAGACAGAGAGAGAGAGAGAGACAGAGAAAGAGAGAGAGAGAGAGACAGACAGACAGACAGACAGACAGACAGACAGACAGAGAGAATTCGTCTAATAGATTAGGAAGGAAGGAATATCATGACCTTTTAGGAAAAAAAGGAGGGGAATTATTATAAAAGGTTTTGTATTTGGTATCAACCATAACAAACGTAAGAAAGATTCCCTCAGTTTAACCTGATCCTATGAAAATTACAAACTAATAAACAAGAACAGAATGAACATGCCAGAGAAAAGAGTTTCATTTCATTGGACTGAGAAAATAGGGCAATAAAAAAAAAACTTTTAACTTCTCAGTACAGTGTTATAGTTCCTTATCGCTCTATAGTTGCACATTCAGCTAAATACACTTCACATGCAGATAAAATTCCACTATACTTAGATAAACCTAACTCAGAGAGTGGATCTATGCTCTAAAATTTATTAACTCTCAACAAAGTCCACTAATTACTTAGACACAATGCAATCTTTCCTGACTCATAGTACCTAACAAATAATTAGGAAGAATCATGTGAATATTCACACTTAGCAAAACTAAATCTTAGGAAACTTTTTTCCAATTAGTGTAACTATCTTGGTATAACCACAGAAGTTTGTCCTACATGAAAGCTGGAGTCACCATGGAAAACTAGCTGAGGATTCACTGGGTCAAGGAAATCATGATTAATAGAAGAAAAGAAATTTGCATGTATGGTAATGTGGTCCTGAGATCTTTGACTATTTTAACAGTTAATGTGAGGATCAGAAGACAACTGGGGTTTGGGGGTTGGTCAATTTAAACAGAAGAGTAAAAGACAAAAACAAAAGAAATAGAGAACAAGGAGTATCTGGCATTCTGGTTTGGGACTATCATTTCCTTCACCCCTCCCTTTAAGGAGAATATGTCACCACATTAGAAATGTTCTTAATTCCTGGTGGAGAAAAAATGTGGTCCTTTTACATCAAAGCTTATTTTCACCAAGAGACTATAATTTTTTTGGTAAAGCTTCAAAATTCCAAAGAAAAATACTGGTTGTATTTTAAGAGTAAGCTTAAAGAGCCCTCTATTTTATTTCTTAACACTTTACCATAATGTTTGTTGAATTATGCTCAATACCAGTTTTACAAATAAAGATGGGTGAGCTACAAACAAGGCTGGGTTAGTCCTGTCAAAGTAGTGAAGGATGGAGACTTGAGGATACAAGTGGAGAGAGGACTCAGATGTGAGTAACCGCTCCTTCCTGGGCTTATGCTCAGCCACTTATCTTGTTGGCCTCTTCCTCAGAAGCAGGTGGCCTAGGGTGTACGTGTTTCATATTCACTGGCTTTCAGGAAAACCTGAAGCTGGCCTTGCCATGGTTCTTTCTAGCCCAGTTCTCTCAACATTTTTCTGCCTCCTAGAAATTTTCATTTTCTTTTTCTCTGTCTCTGTCTCTCGTCTCTGTCTCTCTCTTTTTGTCTCTATCTGACTGTCTATCTAACCACTGGTCAACCCGTTACTCAATTTCAACTTCTCCTATCCTCTACACTAAGACTATATTCATCAGTATTTTGTGTTTTCTGCCAGCATTCTAGTTCTACTACTTAATAAGGTCCTGTGAAAGGCTCAAGTCAACAACTTCTGCGGATAACCCACTACTATTGTGGACTGCTGGATTGTGTTGGATAGTGTTGTTGAATTTACCTACCTATAGTATTTAGATGCCAATGGAATACCCATCTCAGACAGGACTAAAAAAAAAGGGGATACAAAGGAAGGACCATTTTGTATCTGCATATACAGAATAGTTAGGATAGATACACAGCTACTTTTGCTTAATTCAATGAGAAGAAAGATTTGTACTAATAGTGTTTGGACAGAATATCCTGTCTGCATCTTGTACTATGGATAACCACTAAGAAGATAACAATGTACAATGTATTAATTATTGAAACTGTCTTATCAATCAGTTTTGAAACTGTCTCATTATTTGCTTCTCAATAAAATAAAATAAGAAAAATTAATATGGTCCTACTTTTTGAAAATGTTTTCCTAATATTATCCCCTTTCTGGCCTTTTTTTCCCCATTGTTTAAGTATCCATTCTAAAATGTGTAATAAAAAATTACATACAGAATTATTTAAGTTTACTTCCTGAATAAACATGTTCAAAACTTGAACATAACTGACTGAATCCTTGCTTTAGTCACTTTGTCCAACTTATGCTTGAACAGAAGTTAACTCATATTTCTGCAAAACTGACTATAAGGGATAATAAAGCTTATAGTGCTAGATTGCTGTTTACCAGATACCCTTCCATCCTCACATAGGATCTCTCATCCAGACAGCCTAAATTCTGCCAGACTAATCAATCTTACAGCATTGTCATCTTTTATAGGAATAATCATTAATGTTTCATAGCATCACTAAATTCACATGACAGCTTACCTCATTAAGGCTAAACTCTCCTCCAGATTCTGGCTATGAACCACACCCTGACAATATTTCTTCTTGTTCAGTTATCTCACTGAATGAACAATAATGACCACTCCCAGTTCTTGGCCTTCTCTAGAAGCTTGTGATCTTGTTCATGTTTCTCTCACCTAGAAAGCCTCAACTTGTTTGCTCCTGAATTCTACCACTTCAAGACTCAGTCATTTCAAGCTCTGTCCTCTCTAAAATACATCTCTAAAGAGAAATTATGGGACTCAGTCAGAAGACTCTATTTTGCTGCAAATCTCTAAGTAAATCAAAATAACTTACAACAACAAAAACAGTTGCTGCTTTATCTCAAACACATTTTGGTAAGAAAATTTAGTACAGGAAAGCCTTGTTCAATCATAGTGGTACCCTCCTTACAAATTCTGGCCTACTCAAACTACTATTAGGTTGAGTAGGTTCTATTCTTCAATGTCACTGCAGCAGAAAAATGACTGTCAACCTCATTCAGTTTGAGAGAGACAAAGAAAGGGTTGTTGGGAGTCCCTGAAGCTGGAAATTGGTCAAATATGTGAAAGCCACACTAAGCCTCATTGCCTATAGCAGTCAAGCTACCTCAGTCTTGGAAAAAAGCACTCTGCCTGGTTAATGTCAACTATTAGTCACTCAGAGGTCTTTTGCTAATCAGGTTAAGGGCTACCACCTGACCCAGCTCTCCTCTTCTTGTCCCTTTTCCTCATTCCTGCCCCCAATTCTCCCCAGGGGTACACCGAGAGACCAAGGGAATCCTACAGGCCTAAGTTTTATTTCTGGATTTTTAGTTTAATGTGACTCTCTTGTTAGCAAGAGGAAACTGACTTCTTTAAGCTGTGGTAGAGGCTAGATTTTCCATCTGGATGAGTTGTTTTAACAAGAAAATATATTATGAGAATATAAGCACTCTACCAATCTTAGTCATGTATATGTACATAAGAGTGTGTGTGTGTGTGTGTGTGTGTGTGTGTATACAATTGCATACATATAACATATAAGATTCCTGAATTATACTCATCCAGGTACAAGCATTGGGAGCAAGCTGGTTCTATCATGGGGTCCCTGATGTGTTGTCGGAATGTCACAAACTCTTGAAATCTGGTGCAGAATTTTGTGCTCATGTGTTTTGGTATATTTTATTCTGCACAAACACTTCATAGTTTGCATCAGGGTCTGAAAAGAATCTAAGACCCAAAGTAGGACTGAAATGCTGACATGATTAGTGGAGTTCCGCATCTGATTTAAAAGAAGGGGGTGGGGAATGACAGGACTAAGGAAAGGCCTATGGTCATCTGAGGAGAAAGAGAGACCATCTGCTCCAGTCTCAGCCTGCTCCCTTCCCGCCGCCCGGAGCGCATGTGGATACTGGCCCAGCCGTGTCTCTCCTCGCTGTGCCCCAAGGACCCAGGCGTCGGCCGACGCTCTTCAATTTACCTCAGGATAGCCGCGTCGCCGCGGGAGTCCACTGCTACTCAGAGGGCGGAATTCCGACTTCAAATTCCGCGCCCAGACAGTGCCCGCGCAGCGGTGGGGCCGACGAGACGTAGCCAGTGCGCAGCGAGGCGGGGCCCGTGAGAGGAAGGCGTGACCAGTGCGAGGGAGGCGGGGCCAGTGCGAGGGAGGCGGGGCCAGTGCGAGGGAGGCGGGGCCAGTGCGGATCTCGGCCAGTGAGGAGCAAGCCGGGGCGGGGCTGAAGCTGGGGCGGGGCGGGACGAGGCGCAGAGACTGGAAGGCGGTTTCGATGGAGGCCGAGCGAGGGGGCTTCCTGCTCCTGTGGGCGGGCACGCTGGCGGGCTAGAGTCTAAGAGGAGCGCCCGGGTCGCGGGGACCGGAAGGGGGCACGCTGCGGCGGGAGGTGCGTCGGTCGGAGAGGCTGGCCGGGGGCGGGGCGGGCCGGGGGCGGGCCCAACGCTACTCTAGGCTCTTGCAGCGGCGGCGGCGGAAACCGTGCAGCACCTAGCGGAGCTGAGAGGTGGGTTCTGCTGGTCGGCGGCTGTGGGAGCCGGGTGGTGAGTGTCCCCGCTGCCAGCCCGGGGCTGGCTCCCTCCGTTCTTCCCAGACGAGTGCGGGTCCTGGGGACCTGCGGGCGTGTGGCGTGTGCAGCTGCTTCGCGGAGACGGAGGAGATGAGCGGTGCTGGACGCACAGCCTTTGTTTTTCCCAGCTGAGGGTTGGAGGCCGGCCCGGCAGCGGTGCCCGAGCATGGGAGGCCGGGTCCGGGAGTGGGAGACCCTCGCGGGCACTGGGCCGAGATGGGGGGAAGGGCGGCTGGGCCGAGGGCCCCGAGGCCGCGAGATGCGGGGCTGGGGCTGCGCCAGGATCCGCAGCCCGACGTGTGCACCGGGAGGGAGGAGGAGGGGGAGGCTTCGGGAGCCTCCGCCCGGGTGCTGCCAGCTGCCCGCTTTGGTCCGAGCCTCTGGCTCTAGGCACTGAGCCTCCCTTAGCGCCTGAGTGTGTGCTCTCCGCTGCCTTCCTAGTCTGAGGGCCTGGACTTTTCTCGGGTTGACTGTGTTTTTAGTTCTTCCAGAGAGCTGACTGTAAGCAGTGACCACGTTTTCCTTTTAAGAGCTGAAGGTTTTCATGAAGACTAGCTGTTTGTCTGTGTCTGTGGTCACTGGAAGGAGTAGCTCTGAAATCCCCTCAGGTCTTTTCACATCTGTCACTCTTGTTCTCAGAGGGTCTCTCCCCAAGCCTGATTTGATCCGCTGTCTCTGCCCTAAAAAGCGGCACCTAAGGGCCCGGCATCTCAGCTGCCACTCACCTAGCCTATTCCTTTTGCTGTTACCCCTGGGCCTTGGCGACCTCCTAAATGTCAGCCAAGATTGCTCAAGCCACTCCCTAGACTCTCACCTAGCTAGCTGCACCACCTCCTCACTGGTCCCCCACTCCCCACGGAGGGTTCCCTGCAGTTCTCCAGACCGTTTCTTACAATAGAAAAATCTAGAAAGCTGCTTCTTCCCCCTGAGAGTAAACCTGGTCCTTTAACCTGATTAGCAAAGCCAAACATGCACTATGTTCTGAATAACCTCGTTTGCTTTATCTTTTAAAATAATAGCCTTTCACTTTCCGTACCTCACACTGCTTACTGTCAGACCTAGTGTACTGTCTCTGCCTTGTACACTTACATTCCCTTCCCCATCTCTCACCTCTTCACACTTAGCTTTCCGTTTTCATTTTATAATTCAAGTTTCAGTCTTACGTGTTTCTTTGCAGCCAGCATCTTCTAAGTTGTGTCCTGTCCTTTGCAGTGTCTTCCCTTCTAGATTATAAGGAAACAACCAAGGGACTGATATATCTATTATGTCGATTTTTTAATCTTTCTTGGCACAAATACCTGTCCCATTTGTTTTTATTACAGCATTATACTTCTTGTTGACTTTATCCCATCTAGATGCCCTATCGAGAAAAAGTAAATTTGATTAGGATTGCTTAGCAAATTATAATTAAAATGTGGATCAGGAAAACCTAGGGGACTTGAAATAATTGAGTTAGTGTGACGGTATGAATATGCAAGATAGCAAAAGGTGGTGCTAAGCATGGTGATTAAATCAGCCAGTATCAGGATGTGTCCAGACACTTTGAATGTGTCATGGTCATAGGATTACTGAGAATGAAATTTAAAGCCTAAATCAGCCCTATTTGAGTTTTGGCTTTGCTTTGCTCTTTTGCAAAAGAATACTTTTAAAAGTTAAGAGTAATTTCAATGAATGAACAGTTTACTACACTGTGGAAATGAAACTTGTTCAAAGAATATTGTACCTAATTAAGATTTGCTTTTGTTACCATGAGAAAAGAACTTGTCTCCAGTTTTTTAAGAAATTGGCATTTTATCTGATACAAATACAATGCCATTTTACTTTAAAACTTAATTTAACCCAATCAATTGTATCATCCCTGTTCTAATGTTACAAAGCAGTCATTTTCATGAGTAACTTTAGTTCTGATCTTAGTATTAAATAATACTATAAATTCTGCCCCAAAGATAAGGAACGGTGTTTGGACCTCTTAAAAATATGTGGGAGTTTTTAGATTCTTAAGTATTATTTTATACATATTTAATAAATATAAATGTTATTGGCTGGAAAGGGCAGTCTCTTGTCAGATTACCTGAGCCTGAGTTCTAAAAGTGACACACTTACTTGTTCATAAATTATACAATATATATACTGTACAGTGTTACTGTAAGGATCAGATGAAAAAATGTGACAGTGCTTTGTAAATGTGAAATTATATAACATAAGTTATTTTCTTCATGCTTTATTTTTACCTTAAATACTGCCTGTAGAACCTCTGCAATGTGCACTGTGTAGTATGGTAGGGTTATTTGATATGGACTGTACATGTTCTGATTTCTGCCTTGTTGAGTCTCTTGTGGGTAAAAGCTCCATATGGGTAGAGTAGGCTCTTTGTCCCTTCCACTACTTTGTACAATTAAAGCCTAATGCACTACTCTCTGTACAGTTGGTGTGTTAATTGTAATTTTTATAAAACACATCCAGAACTCTCCATTCTTCTTTTTTTGGTGGAACCGGGGATTGAACTCAGGCCCTTGCTCTTGCC